CGGCTATCCAGCACGGCTGTTAGACCCAAACTCTAGAGTTCAAAACCTGGGCCTGGTATCAGGTACCAATTAGAGCTGAGTGAACTCAGGAACCGAACCTTCGGGCTTGTAATAGTGTGTTCTGTCACACACATCTAAAGAAAAGAACAGCACAAATACCATTAAACTTGTACAAACTATCTATGAGAATGAGCAAGGGATTTACTGTATACAAGTTCCGCGAACTAGCTCAAATTTCCCACGACCCTCAGTAAAATTAAACACGTGCTTTATGTGTGGTGTTATGTAAGAATGCGCTTATATTTACATTTGTATATCCACTTAAGCGCCACTCAAATATTTATCCTGGTGATTATTTATTACAAAGCGTCGTGTTTTTAACGAGTTCTTATTGAATGCTCATTGATAGTTGTGAAATGTGTTTCATTTTATCAAATATATGATCCTCCTAATTCCTTGAGATTATTGTAGAGGCTCACTTCCCTTTGAAAAAAAAAAACTTTAGCGTCGCTTACTTGATACAAAGTATTGTGCTGGTCTTGTATATCGTGACTGTTATCGTGTTTGTTTACATACTTTGTTTCCTTAATCTTCTAAACCACGTCAAGTAAGAGGTAACAGCAATTAAGTCCTGTGTAACTGTGAGTGGTTTCCCTTTTTGAGTCAATACAAAATATTTGCCCTTAATGCGAATCTCAAAGGGAGAAGCCCCCCCCCCCCCCCTCCCAAACGCAAACGCACATATACAATCCATAACCATAAAATTGAAAATTGTTAAGTTAAATTTTAATTTTAACCACATGTATTCTTAGTTGTGTTTTTTTTTAAATTAGTAGCGAAAATAATATTTAAAATTGTATGCACATTTGGTCGTCAATATGGCCGCCATTACTGCTAAAAAGAGTTTTAAAAAAAAAAAATCAATAATTTTTTTTTACAGACTACATATTTTGTACAAATGTTTGGCAACCATAGACAATTTAAAAATTTAGAATAGCATTGAAAAGTTTTTTTTTTTTGTTTTGTATTTTTAAATATCTTTTAGTTGATTATTTTTAAGAACGGGATATTCTAAAAATACAATATTTATTGCCTAATCTGCACAATCAAGGGACCTCACCCCACGAGGCGTTAGAATTATCAAAACTAATTTCAACAAATATCGAAACAACTAAAACATTTAAATAATAATAAAACAAAATAAATTCACCATTTTAATTCAGTTTATTTACTTTTTCTCCAATGGAGTTCAAATGTTCACAACGACTCATGCAGAATACAATTCCGCAGTTAATGACCACTTCATTATACAAAATTAACATAAATAAAGTGACCATAATAGCAATAAATATCCACAGCATATTAAATTTTTAAAACGACATAATTATGTTAAAACAACTGGCAGTGACGCATTTGAAAACCTAAACTAAAATGACATTTGAATTCAACTCGTAAAATTGTTTTTGTTAAATGGATTTGAAACAATTGTTCACATCAACACAAAACCATCCAACATTTAAAAAATATTTGACCAGACGAAGTTGTATGTATAAAAAAAACAAGCAAATAAATTGGTACAACATTAATTCAACAATACAGTTTGGTCTAACATTAGTATTGAAATAAAACAAAAAATAAATGAAGTAAAAGGTTATGAAAGGTTTGTTTGTAAATTTATCGACTACACATGAAGTATTGCAACATACTAGGCGTCTTAGCTCAGGTTAAAACAGAAGTAAAGTTACCAGCTAATTTTACAAGATAAGAGTTAAAAAATTTACAGGTAAGCCCGGGTAAAACAAAAGTGAAGTTACCAGCTAATTTTTCAAGTGAAGAGTTAAAAAATTAACAGGTAAGCCCATGTTTATTTTAAGGTAACCAGTATTAATCTAGCAACAGCAGTTAGCCTAGGAGTTGTATACGTTATAAGGTTATAGCAATGTTAAGACACCCCTCTCATGATATATTCCAGGTACTTATTAAAGCTGAGTTGGACGTCCAATTTTTAAAAACACGACTACTGACTGATTTTGACCAGAATTTTAAATTGCACCCCCTCCCCTTCAAATAAAGCGAAATAAATATAATTTTTATTATTATTATTTTTTTTTTTGCAACTTTGTAAAATTGATTAAATAAATTAAAATAATATTTGAGTATAACACAATCTATACAGAGAATTAATCCTCCAATGAGACACACTCAAGTGTCACGAAACAGATCAATGAGTAGTCAATACATAGTAAGAAGATTATAGAATCATCATCTGGGTTTTACCAGCGAACGAGCAACTAGAAACAAAAACAAAGTATGTTGAAAAACATACCAACCAAGCTACGTAGCCTTCTCAACCAACATAAATGTTATGTTAAAGTCAAAATATGCAAGCATTATCATAAATAAGCAATTAAAAAAAAATTAAACCAGAGTACATTGACGTAATGGTCCTAATCACTGAGGTATTTTACTCCCTGGCCCAGTACACGAAGTCATAACAACCACATAACCTTAAACCTAGATACACGTATATAAATCACACAGTACATACGCACATATGCTATACACACACGTACATAAACACAAGAGTACACATAGAAACATTCTAAACACACACACTCGATACAGATGCACACGAATACACATACACTGGCTTTGACAACTTAACTTAACTAAATATAAATATATTTAGTACACAATGGCGAAAAGGGAAATAATTTACAAAACAAAATAAAATATGTACAAATTGTGTACAACTTTTTGTTCATTTTAAAAAGAAAAAAACTATTTCTATAAAATCGTTAAATTTTTAAGAACCGTTAATGCGATAATAATATAATTTTTTTTTCTAAATCTATTAACTAAAAACATGTACAATGTTAAAAATTTAAAAAAAAAAGTATCTTCTTCAACTAATTTCATTGACATATTGTAGTGATAATTAATCAGCAGATTAGCTACCAGCTTCGTACTTTCCAGCTAGAGCTGTTTTAACATTACTAAAATCAGTAGTAAGAAACAAAATGATTAAATTGAAATATATATTCCGCTGATGTAAATGTATTTATAATGGTACACAATGATGATCATAAACTATACGGTGTACGCTGGGTTAAAGAAAAAACGAAGCTTTCCTTAAGTCATGAATTTTAAAGAAGTTACAATAATACAGGTAATAATTATTTTTTTTAAATAGCCTAGGTCTACCGCACTTAATTCGATTCTATTATAACTTTTATATTCAGAAAAACAAGCAAATATATTAGTTCCAACAATATAAAGATAATAGCGTAATTTAAAAAAAATAATTGTTGCATTTTGGGAACTCTTGGTAATTTTAAAAAATGAATCTAGTCCAACAATCTAGGCCGCCATTTTTTTTTATCAATCCTGTTCACAACAATTCAGTTCCAAAATATATCTCTCCCTGGCTAGAGAAATTTCAAAATGAGAAAGACCGATACTTTAACTCCTATTATGTGACGTTTCAGTGTACAATTCTTCCGATACCCACATAAAAATATCTATATCATACATATTTATATGTATTTATATTAGACACCACATAATAAAAATGTGTTATAACAATATCAATTTAAAGACCAAGTTTCACCACAACAGACATTATTAGTGAGCAGCTTGACACTGACCATTATCATTGAGTAATAACGACTAGATAGGTGACTAATACAAATGCGATTTATTCTGTATGCGACTGTAGAAAAAAAGTAACTAGCTTACACTTTTCTTTTGAATATTATAGTTATAAAAATGCAGTTACTTCCCTTTATTACAAAAATTACCTCCCCTAGCACATGTAAGTAAATTATTATTGGTTTTGTGTGGTTGCAAATGCCATTTTTCGTGTAGTTTTATTTTGGCTATACTTTTGACAATACGTGAATCTTCATTTAAAAAAATGACAGATCATTGTTTTTAAAAAAAAATGGTGTTTTATACTTGTTTAAAAGAAAACAATATACAATTTTAAAAAAAAAATCCCTTAAAGCTTAAAATATTCAATTGAATGACAAATCAAAATGTTATGTGATATTAATATTCACGAAACAACAGATAAAGATAATTGAAAACGATAATGAGATATTTAAAAATACTGTTATATTTACATCATAAAATAAATGACTTTTGATTTCATGACTTGTATGACTGAGATCTCTGTACACCAAATAATAGTTTATGCAACTAGATTTACACAGTACGCGGTACACACTCGACACATAGGCTTCGATCAGAGTCAACCACACTTCGATCAGTCAAACACACTTCGATCAGAGTCAGTCACACTTCGGTCACAGTTAATCGCACTTTGATCTCACACACACAAACACACGCACACATACACGCACCTATCAATTGCATCCACACTATTCAATCATTTATGTAAAATGTGTCATTATTTTTTGTAATTCGTGAGCTTCTTATGTTAACAAATAACAAACAATACAGTATTATATCAGTATGCAATAAAAACTTTAATTGTTCAAAAATTTCCCTACTAAAAAGTTGAGTCAATGTACATTTTTTTCCCATAATCTTGAATACCAAAAGATTATAAAATAAACTAGTTTTAAATCTGCATTGAAATTGTTTTGTTTCGTTTTTTTTTCTTAAATATGTCAGTTTCCTTTTTTTAATGTATCTACTAAGATTGTATGAATTGTATTTACTAGCAATCTGTATCTGCTATAACCACAACACACATATGTATCAGCTTACTGTTCGATCAATAATACTGTTCATATCTTTGATCCCAGAAATAGTAAGTTCACGCCTCCACCATAAACATACAAATTCCTGTCATACTTTTTAATCACGCTCACACCACGCTCCCTCATACCCACTTTCCCTCACACCAAGCACCCTCACACTAACGCACCCTCACACCCACGCTCCCTCACATCCGCACTCCATCACAACCTAGCACAGCCATACACCGAGTAGCACAAAGAAAATAAAACCCACCCCCACCCCGCCACCCTGCACTCCGACCTGCACTCCAAGCCTACACTCCAAGCCTGTGTGGATGTTGTGCAAACAGGACACCCTGGTACATAATCCCGTTAATCTCCATGCTGACCACTAAAGATGTATCGATCTCTGATCGGCCATCGTCTGAAAACAAATCAAAACATTTCTGTTAGCGTTATAAACCAACTTTACGTCGTATTGCTTATCGACCGCTGAGTTTTTAATTTATAGAATTACATAAAAAGAGTCAAAAGGTTAAACTCAATTAGCCAACGTCAGACCAGTATTCAGAAACAACAGCATACAAACAAGTTGACCACACTGACAAAGTAGAAAGTAAGCCCCCCCCCCCTCACACCCCCGCCCCCCCCCCCACACACACACACACACAGCGACACATCTAAAGGCTCGTCTCTACAACAACTTTTTTTAAAAGCTATTCCGTCTCCACAAGGCCAAAACATTGTATAGTTAGCTACTGGGGTGATAACATACAGAGTGGGCACTAATACATACACATAACTAAAGCCCACTCCCTAACATACAGAGTGGGCACTAATATTATACACAAAACTAAAGCCCATCAGTAACATACATAGAGGAACCCAAAACGACCGTCAACATCAAGATCAAGCCCCTACAAATACAATAAGTAACAAGCCCCCATAAACCTATAACAAGAAGAGAAACCCCCATACACCAACAACAAAAACAAAGCCCCCCCCCCCCCACCAATACCAGCCCTTCATCTTTAAATCAGATCTACCAGTTGATCAAGAGTGCGTGTATTCCCACACTGCGCCCAATCACAATTAAACGCCTATCTTGATAAAACGAAAGCACACACTGAACATTTCTTTTCAACCGTAAACCCCCAACCCACAAGAAGCCCATAAATCTTTGATCCACTATTTTGTCCCAACTTGTATATTCCTAACAAGTGTTTCTCAAGATCTCGCTACTAAGGTAATTAACATGAATGCCCCACTTAAAGATGCTAATATCATATACATTGTTAATGAATTTTCAAACAATATTTCTTTCGCGCTGATGTAATCGATAATCGAACAACTTTCGTAAAACAAATCAAACCACTCGAGCGTGGGCTTGCCAATTTTTATACGGTTGAGTGATCGATAGATCGAACGGCCGTGCGCATATTAATTGGCAACTGGAGGGGTGCTTAAGTCTCCTGTTCGCTGGATCAAATATCTTTTCTGATATGTATGAAATATTCATCCCTCTCCATCGTTCCGTTCAACGGGTTATGGTTCTGTTATTTACTTGAAAGCCGAAGCTTTTATGATGGTGTGTGTGTGTGTGTGTTTTACAGAAGAGAATTGTGGAGAACGGTCGTTGATAAGTAGGTGTAAGTTATGAAACGGTCGATGAGAAGTAGATATAAGTACAAAAAACGGTCGCTGGTAACTAGATGTAAGCAAAGAAACGGTTGATGGTAAGTAGATGTAAATACTGAAAAGGTCGAGTTAGTAGAGAAACATGCGACTGCGTTGCCTAGCGGTACAGTGCTAGACTGCTAATCGAAGGGCGAGTTCGAATCCAGGTTCAAGTCAGTAGAACGACCACTAAGCTCTGAGAGATACCTGACTCAGGAAAGTAAAGGTGGCTGGACATAGTGCTGACCACACTATATGCCGAGGTGTCTGAAACTGATGAACTCTACTTCATCTGCCCCGTGTGTCTCGGGCACGACAGATGATAAAGTACAGAAACTGTCAATTGTAAGTAGATAGAAACGGTCGATGGTGAGTAGATGTTAGTACAGGAACGGTCGATGATGAGTAGAGGTTAGTACAGAAACGGTCGATGGTGAGTAGATGTTAGTACAGAAACGGTCGATGGTGAGTAGATGTTTTTGTTAGTACATGAACGTTCGATGATTATAACATGTAAATAAACAGTTGTTAAGATAATATTCACTTTATATACCTACGCATGAAACGGTAGATAATAACACAACACGTGAGTGTCTTAAAGGGAGATAAGATCCAACTTACTTCGACTAGTTATTTTAAAGTGAGCACTGTGCATGCTCGTGGGAAGTATACGATCGTTTTCTGTTATAAGGCGTTTTCTCGGAGGTCCGTCTTCCATGGAAGCCCGGGTCGCTTGCTCCATCTTCCTGGTAGCTTCCTCCATAGCACGGGAGGCCGCCTCCATGGCGAGGGCGTCTCGCTCCGTCAGGCCCCTGTGGTGGGCAGGGAGGGGTGTGGGTGGGAGGCTATCATCATCTACTGCAAGTAAAACAGGGGGGAGGAAGGTTTATTATAGTGAACATCTTTAAAACTTTAAAACATTCTATGTATAATTACGTATTTATTAATTACTATATATATATATATATATATGTAAGTCTGTATGTATCAGTTACTATATATATATATATATATATATATATATATATATATATATATATATATATATATATATATATATATATGTATATATATATATATATATATATATATATATATATATATATATATATATATATATATATATATATATATATGTATATATGTATAAATATATATATATATATATATATATATATATATATATATATATATATATATATATATATATATATGTGTGTGTGTGTGTACACATAATGTGTTACTATAATTCATGACCTGTGTAATGAATTGTACGAGAGATGAATCTCTACTCAAGTAACAAATATTCTTTTTTATACTAGGAATAGGACTACCTTTTTTGTTAAGTACACATTTAATATATTGTACACAAGACCCCTTGTACACAGTACACATACAACGCGCAGGTTTTTATGTGTACCTACAATAATTTCTAAACTACCCGTCGGCGTCCCCTCGAGCTTAACAAAATAAGTAACGCCTGCGTCGAATACCCCATCCCACTATAATTATACTTAACCCTTGCTTAGATATAAATACCTAGCAAAGAAACGAAATAATAATTTAATTGCCGAGTAAGCCCAGTCCCTAGACAGGGTTGGAAGATCCTATACTCCCCTTTTGATTCATTTAATCTTAAATTCACCCTTTTTATTCAGAATTTTTTTTTATTTATAAATAACACGAGAAGAAGTGTATGTTATTATGTGTGACGGCCGTATAATTAATGATATCAGATCTAGAATTGTGGGTAGGCTGTTCCGTCTATTGTGCCGACTCCCACAGCCGTAGAGGGTTAGAGGATTGTATGGGGGTCTTTTGCATTAATCATCTTATCTTAAGTCGGGGGCTGTATCAAAATACAACAATCCGCTTAATCCTCACACTTAATCCACCTATGATAACAAATCACCCGGCGCTGCCGAATTGCCGAGCGGGGAGGGTATCATTATACCGCCAGCGTCTAGAGTCTGACCTTACAACAAGAAAAAAAATCTTAACCCTAGTTCTCTCCCTTCATTCTTATTACTTTCTGATTTTTTAAAAATATATCCTAGGTTTTGAGTCAATATTTAATTGTTTTTCATGCTAGTTCTCGACTTTATATTAATCCAAAAATTTACTTTAATTCTGCTAGAGGTAAAATAGCTGGAACACTTCACAAAATCATTAATAATAAATATGTCTATGTGTCTACAGGGACTATATATATATATATATATATATATATATATATATATATATATATATATATGTGTGTGTGTGTGTGTGTGTGTATTAACATATGGCATGTGTGTATGTGTGTGAGCACTCGCACGTGTAAGCTTATGTGTGTCTAGGGAAATGGATGGTTTGTATAGATGGAGACTGAATGAGGGAATTTTAAACTCCTATCCAGGAAAATATAAAATAAATCTGCAAAAACATTTTTTTCCGTATACAGCTATCCCCCTCCCTTCCCTCCCCCCTAATTAACTCCCCTTGTTGATGTACGCCCACCCGTCTACCCAATAGCGACCTTGTGGAGCAGTCGAGTGTTGAACACCGGTAGCGTCCCTTGGCCCGACCATCCATCTCCAGAAGAAAGACATTCAACATTAAATTGGGCTGACACGCCCCGCGCTCATTCGAATGTGTTACATCTTTTAATGGACATTCTAGGGGAGGTAAACCTTTTCCCTCGGGATGAAATTTCACTCCCCTTGTACTATTTTATTCAACGTCTTCAATGTGAAAAAAACAAAAACAATTAAATCTTTTGGATATTCCTTAACGAAATTTACAATTTAAATTTATTGTTTTCATTACTCCTATTTTTTTTTTCCAAAATTGCTATTTATTTTTGGATAATCTGGTTTAAGCTTTAAAAAGTCTATTGTTTATTTTTTTGAAATATAATAAAATAATTTCCAATAATCTGTTCTTAAACCTCAAGAAATTATCCACAATTAATGTTATCCCTCATCTGAACATTTCGCAATATTTTTTTTCTGCTTTGTCATTGTTCTAAACCACGTGACCTCCCTCTCTGACACACACCTGGCCAGCAAGCAGTTATCCCATGCCAGGTAATCTTTACATCACCTTCTCTTGGACGTCCGCTCGCCTGTCTCGCGCTCACACGTGTTCCCTCAAGATTTATGCCCGGCCAAAACGTGAGTACATTGTCTCCTGGTCGCGGTCTACACACGCGAGTCACGTGAGCACAAAGACGGGATTTCATTGGCTCAACAACGCGTATCCGGTTCCGGATCAGGTAGTTGCGGTGACGTCATTACGAGAGTGTAAGGTGATGATTTAATTGAATGCTGGTTTTGTTTTTTAAGCCGTTTGCTCATCTTTAAAGGTTGGTCTGGCGGTGTATTAGTGACAGCAGACGATGACTAGGTCATCTTGACATAGACATATGTTTCGAGGAGTATTAGCCTAAAATTCATCTAATAAATTGTTTACTTTAGGTTTGGCTAAATGGAACGGCATGGTCGAGTGGATGAGCACTTAAGTGCTTGCCTGAAAATCACGAGTTCGGATCTCGGGCTCGAGTCTCTAGGACATCTTTGACTCCACCAAGCTTTTTTTTTTTGGATACTTGACACACGTTAGGGAAAGTAAAGGCGGTTGGACATAGTGCTGGACACGTCACGCCTTTAAAAACTGTGTTCACTAAACAGATGAACTCTGTTTCATCTGCCCTATGGATCGCCAGGTCCGAAAAATTGAACTTTACTTAGCTTATGAATAAAAACATTTTCCTCTTTAAATTTCCTTTAATATTGCTATTCGAAATAAAAAGTACTTTACACACTTAAGGATTTGTATGGCCAAATTTGTTAGAAGTTATTTTTCAGAACAGCCAAATAACAACTGCATATATGTTTAGTTTCCATTAGATATGGCCAAATGGTACAGAGTTTCGATTTTGTCAAGGACCCAATCCCCATTTTTAGAAGACAAAAACTGATATTATTTCTTTCAATAGTTGATTTTGGTTTAGAGAAAGGCCAAATTAAAATATTAAATTTGGCCAAGATGTGAAATCAATATTTTCAAATATTACCTCGTGACTGCTTCAATTACACCAGCTCATAGATGACCTCTCAAGGTCGTACAGTGTCTACCCAGCAGTCACCCCGCTCGTCACACCTGACCTCTGACCCAGAACGTTTGCACCTTTTCCCCTTAATCCGGGCCTTCCCCGCCAGATCTAAAAATTACGGTGTCAGTTCCTGGTTTTTTAATCCCGGATTAGCATTTCCCCAAACACGTGATGAATGACTGTGCCCAATTATACGGGCATTGTATGGCATATCACGACTATAGGGCATTATTTGGAATCTCATCGCGAGTGTACAATTAAACCTCTAAACTTACATCAATTAAAAGGGCACTTTTGATTTATTTCTAAATTGTTACCACTGTAAACTGTAAACAATGTAAACACTGTAAACTGTTTATATTTTACTCAAAATAGGGCAGCTGCTGTTATATATTGCATGTGGTATTGTTTGTATTATGTAAGTATTTGTTAGAGATTATTCAAGTAATGCTGATGTTTGCCACACTATTCTATAACTGTGTCTACAGTTGATGTTATATTTGTTGCCCTAATGTTTATTGATCGACTCATGCTCTAGTTAAAGACCAACATTTTTGCTTGCCTTAAGCCTTTGATCAAATGTCTACATATTGCTTGTCTCGTGCTCTAGACCAAAAATCTACTCACTTGGCGTGGAGTAACATAAAACTAAAGATCTACTTTTGTTGTGGAGTAACAAAGATCTACTTACTTGGCGTGAAGTAACAAAGATCTACTTACTTGGCGTGGATTAACAAAGATCTACTTACTTGGCGTGGAGTGCCGTACAATAAAGATCTACTTACTTGGCGTGGAGTAACAAAGATCTACTTACTTGGCGTGGATTAACAAAGATCTACTTACTTGGCGTGGAGTGCCGTACAACAAAGATATACTTACTTGGCGTGGAGTGCAATACAACAAAGATCTACTTACTTGGCGTACAGGAACATATAGCTAAGGATCTACTTACTTGGCGTGGAGTGCCGTAGCTTCTCCGTGATCATGCTGCTGTAGATGTGGTGGCTGAGGGGCATGAGGGCAGGGTTCAAGGTTAGAGCCTGGGGGTTACTTCCGGTCAGATGCCTGACGTCCGGTCGGTCTCCATCGAAAGACACTGAAACATCAAATAACAAGTTCAAAGAATTCCATTTTAGGAGAATATTAGATTGCATTACAATAATGTAATCCCCTGTCTGGTATTCAATTGGTTTTATAGTTTAAAAAGCTCCTTATGCTACTGGTTACTGATATTTGATTTCTTTAGGCATTCAGTCGGTGAGGCTTGATTATATTTCTCTTTCAGACCAGTTGGTTCCATTTGACAGATGGAGTAGAGTTCTTCTGTTTCACTAACCTCAACAAAACGAAGAAATCGTACATGTTCATCACTATACCGAGCCGTTTTTACTTTCCCCTACTCAAGTCAGTCACCTATTAGACCTGGGCGGACTCGAGTCCTTGAACCGAACACGAAACTTTTCGGGTTTGTATCTGCGCGCTCTGTCCTTCGACCACGCCGCCACCAAAGATTGTGTATCGAAAGATTAGAAACCACGGAGCTAAACTTCTCAGATCTACCATCGTGTGCGCCCAACTTACAAGGCGATGCCCTGCCCAACTTGCCGTTCATAAGGCTCCCATTGAGGGGGTGACTTGATGGTACGAGGGTCGGCCCGGGGGACATGTCGTAGCCGTAGCTGGAGCGACGTCCCTCTCGTCTGTTGCCGTCTATTGCTGCCTGCAGTTCCGAGGGGTTGCTGAGCTTCAGTTTTTCACACTCGTAGGGGTAGAGGTATTTCATGTACCTGGAATAGACAATGGGAGAGGTATTTCATGTACCTGGAATAGACAATGGTAGTGGTATTTCATGTAACTGGAGTAGACAATGGTAAAGGTATATTACGTACCTAAAACAGTCAAGCGTTTTTTTCCCCCCAAGTAATTGAGATAATACTATGCTTAAATGGCAGATATAGATTATTTTAAACTGCTTTATACAAAAGAATTGAGGTGTTATTTAAAGAACTGACACAGATAAATGTAGCTATTCAATTATTTGAAATTGAAAATAAATTGTTTATTGAATTTCAAAACAGAAAATAAATTGACGACAGTTTTGTACATATCTGTAGAAGTAGAGCACTTTGTTCATAGATGTATATACCCAATGTTTATCTACGTGTATTATGTTAAATTATAAACATAAATGTTTCCCTCTTACAGCCCGCACAGAATCCGAGATAAAACCTAGAAGGTCTCGCATATAAGAAAAAAAAATCCGACATGTGTCAAATAGCATCCATAAAAATACCGTACCCTCACTGGTCAGACACATTCATTTCCAGTGGAACTCTGACACTGAAGTGCCTTCCATACCCAGCTCTGTGGCTGTTGGACAGCAGACAGCCCCCACCCCACATCAGCACAGCTGCAACCCCCCCCCCCCCCCCCTCTGATTTATCACCAGACACTCCTTCCCAGCCCTCGGAAATAAATTACCCACATACCAACATGTACTAAATTCCCAGAAATCCACTCCCGGCTTAATGCCCTTCTATCAAAAGCGAAAGTAGAAAAATAACGGAAATTCCCGTTCTTAACTTATTTCACATTATCTGGGATTTTTTTTTTTGGACCAACACACCTAATTCTATGAGATTAATTTTCTCTAGTTACGCTCGAGTTGGCACGACGTTTGATGAGGGTGGCTTAGTAAATTAATAGATAAGACTAAGGTAATTAGCCTGAGATGATGGGAGATTACTCACGATTATTGTAGCGAATTAATAAAGACAAAAAAAACCCCATACATTTGGCTGCTGTGTTTAAGGATTCTTCACGAGTGTTATACCGTTATAATAAAAACAAGCAAACATAATTTGGCTGAGGTGTTCTAAGTCTCTACGGCTTTCATGAGCTTTACGTGTATGTTGGGGTTTGATGCTAGTTTGATCTTTACAGGTGTGTTGTCGTGAGGTGAAATGAATTGGGTGCCAGTAGGGGTCGGGTGGTGCCGAGATTCTTAACATATCATATCGTCTGGGTGAGCAGTCACAGTTGGCATAGTTCAATATAAAGGTATTTTTTTTAAGATGGGGGATGTTACAGGCTGTTAGCCAAACTGTCTTTTAGATCGGGCTATATTAAAGCTAGTCTTTTGGCCAAACCGTCTTTTGGCCAAACTGTCTTTTGGTCAAACTGTCTTTTAGATCGGGCAATATTAAAGCTAGTCTTTTGGCCAAACTGTCTTTTGGCCAAACTGTCTTTTGGCCAAACTGTCTTTTGGTCAAACCGTCTTTTGGCCAAACTGTCTTTTGGCCAAACTGTCTTTTGGCCAAACCGTCTTTTGGCCAAACTGTCTTTTGGCCAAACTGTCTTTTGGCCAAACTGTCTTTTGGCCAAACTGTCTTTTGGCCAAACTGTCTTTTGGTCAAACCGTCTTTTGGCCAAACTGTCTTTTGGTCAAACCGTCTTTTGGCCAAACTGTCTTTTGGCCAAACTGTCTTTTGGCCAAACTGTCTTTTGGTCAAACTGTCTTTTAGATGAGACGATACTAAACCCAGTCTTTTGTCCAAGTAGTCTTTTGGCCATGTGTTCTTTTAGATGGGACGATATTTAAGGCAGTCTTTTGGCCATGTGTTCTTTTAGATGGGACGATATTTAAGGCAGTCTTTTGGCCATGTGTTCTTTTAGATGGGACGATATTTAAGGCAGTCTTTTGGCCATGTGTTCTTTTAGATGGGACGATATTTAAGGCAGTCTTTTGGCCATGTGTTCTTTTAGATGGGACGATATTTAAGGCAGTCTTTTGGCCATGTGCTCTTGTAGATGGGACGATATTTAAGGCAGTCTTTTGGCCATGTGCTCTTGTAGATGGGACGATATTTAAGGCAGTCTTTTGGCCATGTGCTCTTGTAGATGGGACGATATTTAAGGCAGTCTTTTGGCCAAGTAGTCTTTTGGCCAATTATTCTTTTAGATAGAACAATATTAAAGCCAGTCGTTAGGCCAAACTGTCTTTTGGCCAAACTGTCTTGTAGATGGGATGAAATTAAACCCAGTCTGTCTTTTGGCCAAACATTCTTTTAGATGGGGCGATAACAAAGCTACGTTTGGCCACCTCAGCAAATGCTGATCACGATTTTTTATATTGTTTTTCTTTCCAATGATATTATTCTGTACCAATAGAAAAACATCCGCCAAGTGGGAATATATCCAACAGATAAGTTTTTCTGTCTGTGGGTTGGGACACTTCATACCAAAAAACTCAAAGACGTTGTGTTAGTGATGTAATGGTTATATTTTTAATACTTACACATATAACTGTATTAAAATAGACTCTTACATACGTATTTCTAATGGTAATGTAGATATGATTTACATCCATCATTAAAACATCTACGAAGCGAAAGATAAAAAAAACAAGTGATTGTGATTGTAAAAAAATAGTGATTGTGATTGTCTAGAAAATCACAGAAAAAACATGGCCGTACTAGGTTAAAAAATCAATGTTAGTTTTCAAAAACCTAATGCTTATTCATGTTTCATTATGGTGAATAAAGTTATCGAATATTTTACAAGTTATTGAATTTTCAAAACAAAAGAGTTTTTTTAAAACAAAGAATTATTTTAGAATATGTTAGCATATTTTAAAGCTACAAAATAACCAAATCAATAAAAGAATCGATAATCAATAGTTTTTCGCAAGTAATTAACAACATAAGGACAACAGCGTTATTTACTTTAAGGCAAATCACGGGAAATATTGAATGGATTTGAACGGGTAAAACTCTATTTCAAAATTATATATTTTACTTTCCCGAGTGTAATTATCTCTTTGTGGAGCTACATAGAAGCGCATTTTCGCAGCATTCCGCAAAAATTCTCATTTAACAAGATACGCAAAGCAAATAGTTACTTAAAACGAAAACGTCTATTCGAATGTCTTCTGTTTTATTTAGGTTCCGCAACATTACTTTTTCGAATTTACATTTCTCTCATTTTGAAGATTTTCAATAAATTGCAAAGATATTTAAAAAAAAATGTAAGTACGTTTAAAAATCTAAAAAATATTTTAAAAAAAAAGCATTTTTATAACTAGTAAACAATAATCAAGGGAAATAACTCTGATTGCAAAACAAATTTAAAATGTCTTTCGGTGAATGATTTACATTTATCAGACATCACTTTCGTACAGGAGGGATAATTTTTTAAAACCCATAAACATCTTTTTTAAGACGCCATGAAAAATAGTTCCACGGCAAAAATGCCACAGAAATCATTTCATTTTTAAACGACAAATAAATTACCCCCACCTCCAGTTACCCCCTTCTCTGGTTCTAATTTTACTTGTGTATCAAAGTGACGGCGTAAGTAAGTCTAAATGTCGGTCTAAATGAGGATTTTCGCTGAATTACACACACCGATTCATGCCAAATGCCAGCGGGAGCTTTGCTACTTTTAAGAAGGGGGAAGGGAAATAACTCGAATAAAAGTCGTCTCCCTTGACTGGATTTCTCATACGCCAAAAATTACGATTTTATTTACAAGAAATAATCAGAAGAGAAAAGCTTGCGGAAGGGGAAGATAACCCGGGATAATTCGTTTAACAAGGCACCGGATATGCCTCGGGTTCGTAGGTTTTGAGAAAAGTAAAAATTCATCCATGCGTAAAAAAACAGAAACGACTGTAATTTAGCTCTAAAGATCCCCAATAACAAATGTGTTAAGTTAAAATTCTTTCCCAAAAAAAAGAAGCATTTGAAAATTTAAATTTTCAATTAATATCTCAAGAATTGTAAATTTGAACTTAAAAAGAAGAGAGTATTTTTTTTTTACAAAAAAGGGAAGTAATTTTAAATTTTTAAAAAGGAGTAATATTTTTAATTTTTATTTTTGTTGCGCATAGATAATTAGCTACCGTAGTTTCATATATTATTTATCCCCTCCTACATAAGTTTCAATGTGCGTCATTCGCCTCAGGATGAAGCTAATTGCTCTGGTAATGTCTACACAAAAACATTGAGCGTTTAAGTAACATTTTGATCAATGAAGCAGCCTACATTTCATATCTTTGAAATATGTTCAGGCTCTATGTATCAACAGTTTATATACAAACACATACACAACACGCACACACTGATACACACACATATATATATACAAACACTCTTATATATATACATATATATATACATACATATATATAGGCTATATATGTATATATATATATATATATAAAGGTATATAGCAGACAGGTTATATATATATATATATATATATATATATATATATATATATATATATATATATATATATATATATATATATATATCTCCTGACTATACTAAATTTGTTTTCAATCCTAGACAGAACTTGATGCCAGATTTATTTCCCGCGAATTTCCACTCCGCCTCTTTCTGGAATCGACCCCGAGTTTTTGACACGGCATTGACTAGGGCAGCTGCTCACCCCCTACCCTCCCCCCTACCCTCACCCTCCCCGTGAAAGGTGTGAGAGAATTAATGGGAATTAAATCTACGTGCAAGCACGCACCATTTGTCAACGCTGTAATGTGGTCTTGTGTTGGCCCAGCTGTATCGCTTTCAGCCCTAGCCTCGAGAACCTCTGCTAGAAACGAAGGCATCGAAGTTGTCTTCCCTTTTCTTCAACTTTTATTTTTTCGCGGTGTAGTCTGGGTATTTTTGTGTAAAGATGGGTAGGTGTTCATTTCTCAGCTTAATCAAGGTGATTGATGAGTAGTTGTATATAATAACAAATAACAATGGGAAGATAACAAATATAT